TGGTATGTGGTGTGACGTGGTGTGACGTGGCGTGACGTGAGAAGGTGTGATGTCCTGTGGTATCATGTGGCATGATGTATGGTTTATGGTGTCATGTGTGTTGTATGGTGTGTAGTGTGACGTGGTGTGATGTGAGAAGGCGTGATGTCCTGTGGTGACATGTGTGTGGTGTAACCTGGCCCTCCAGTTCTCCTAGCATGACAGACGTGCAGTCACTCTGGTATTTCAGTTGGGCGGTTCTGCCGTGAGCGTCTTTGCCTCAGGGTGGCCGTGCACGGAGGCGAGCAGCAACACAGGCCGGATACTCAGGGCACCTGGCTGAGCCCTGCTCTGACTTGGACACGGGTCCAGTCCTGCTTGGTGTGGAGGACAGCAAAGACACCCTGTGTTTATTCTATCTCACAATGTGCTTGCTTTAAAACCGAGGGGTGCCACTGCAGTCCCAAGAGACGGGCAGTCAGAGGGAGGGTGGGATGCCACCCTGAGTCACATGGCTCAGGATGCAGAGTAAGCACAAAGCGGCCAGGTTCACTGCCAGCTCAGGGCTGGCAGGAGTCCTGGGGGTGGGGTAGGCTCCCGGAAGAGCCAGGCTCCAGGCCCTAAGTGCTCTGTGCATCCTGTGTCTCTGTGTCCTGGAGCTGCTGCCGCTGAAACACCAAAAGTCAACAGCTTTCAAGACCGAGAACTGACTGTCCTCGGTCCTGGAGGCCAGAGTCCAAATTGGGGTCTATCCGCTCCTCCTGTGCCTGTCTCTCCTGGTGTCTCGTGGCTGCCGGCAAACCTGGGTGTCCTCTGTGTGAATGTCAGTGTTGAGCACAGAAGTGATGAGATTTAGAACCCACCCAACTCACACAGTGTGGTTGTGTGACCTCCTTAACACAACAAAGACAACCCCTGTCTCCCCAACAGGTCAAAGTCACAGATGCAAGGGTTTGGACTCAACTTCACATTTTCTTTTTCTTTGTTTTCACTTGTGTTGTGAATTGGGTGAAGGTTTATAGAGCGTATCATCAGTGTTCCCGTCAACAATTCACACACATTTTATTTCTTCTCAATGACTGAAATCCCTCAGTTTAATGTCACTCACCCTACTTCCTCCCTGGGTTTCCTGTTTCCAGTCTGCCTTCTTGTCTAATCTTCTGAACTTTGCCCTTTGGCCCTCATATCTGTGATCATTCTAAAGTGTGTAATTGTTCCCTGCCAGACCTGCCTAGTGTTGGGCTGAGAATTGAGCCACCTGAAGGGTGACTAAGGGTCCAATCTCAGGGTCCCACCAGCCCGTTTCCAGACAGTAAGTCTAGCCTATTTTATGATTTTGAGTTTTGTGTTATACCAGTATAACTTTGGGGTGCACAATTCACCCCACACCAGTGAGTTGGTTGGATCTTTGAGCAGTTATGAGATAAAGTTGTGTGTTTTATAGCCACAGCCAAGTCCCCAGGTGTCCGAGAGGTAGAGGGGCACCTTTACCCCCAGAGGTCCCAGCCGGCCGAAGAGCCGCAGCAGAGATTCATTTCCTGGGCTTCGGCAGCTCGGTGCTTATAGACCTGGCGTGCTTTTTGTGAACTCTTTGCTGTTTACTGCTTTTTATGCAACTCAGCTCAAAACTTAAAGTACTGAAAATTTTACAAGTTTACATCCATCTCATAAGCGGGGAGCTTGTCAGCCACGGAGTTGTTGTTGTTGAGTGCCGTCGAGTCGGTTCCGACCCATAGTGACCCTGTACAGGGTTTCTGAGGCTGTAAATCTTTACAGGAGCAGAAAGCCTCATCTTTCTCCCGCGGAGCGGCTGGTGGTTTCAAACTGCTGACCTTGAGTTTCGCAGCCTGATTCGTAACCACTACGCTACCAGAGCTCCTTTCAGCCACGGAGAGTGCCCCCTAAATTCAGACCCTGAAGCAAGTAATGACCATTCCTGAAGGAAAGCCCTTTCCCCAAATCTCCTCACAACCCATGTGCCTTCCAAAGAGAAAGCCTTCACCAGGCATCTCAGTGTGAGGCCCAGGCCCATGATGCTAATCTACTCTCTGCTCCCAGGAATAAATGCTTTGTCTCCTACCTCTTGCCTTCCCTGGGGAGCTCTTCCATGAAGGCCTGACAGATCAATACGTCATTATCATTAAAAAGGCAGACGAGGAAAATGTACCAGGCCCTGAAGAAATTGCCCTCCTCTGGCCAGTGCCCGCTCCCTTGGCAGGGCTGGTCTGGGGACACTCCCGTGTAAGATGCACCTCCAGTCAACATTCTGAGTCCCATGGTCTCACAGAGGCCGCTTTCCCGAGTCTGAATGTAGACACGAGGGTTTCATTTTGACCAGTGATGTGAGGTCAGGTCTGGACGTGAGGTGAGGTCAGGTGTACCTTCTTTCTGCCCTCCTCTCTGTTCTTTCTGCTTGTCTGTTGGAACACACTGACCACTGGACTTTAAGTGCAGAAAGAACATGAGTTAGCTGTATCAGCATGGAACTGTGCTCAATTTCCACAAGTGGATTCCCAGGCCTTTCCTCTGATGCACCTCTGGGTGCTCTTGAACCTCTTTGTTATCAGCTTTGTTGTTGTTGTTAAATACCGTGGAGTCAGTTCCGATTCATAGCGACCCTGCACAGCGTTTCCAAGGCTATAAATCTTTACGGGAACAAAACGTCTCATCTTTCTCCTGTGGAGCAGCTGGTAGTTTCGAACTGTTGACCTTGCGGTTGGCAGCCCGATTCGTAACCACTACACCACCAGAGCTCCTTTGTTATCAGCTTTGTACTTAACTAATCACTTCACCACCCAGGGATTCCTCATTATAACGGACACATACAGCGAACTAGCGGCTCATGAGACGGAGAAGTCCAAGTAAACTAGGACCCCATCCCCCTGTGTGCTGGCTCCGTGGCTTCAGGCTTCTCCTCTGAGAAAAAGTCAGTCGAAGAGACCAAGCCTGCTCCTCCGGGGTGGAGAGAGTCCTTACAGACCCTGGCTGAGCTGTGCATGATGTCCGGTGAGCTGTAACTGGGACGCTGGATGCAGGAACTCGGCTACAGCCTTTCTAGCACGGGTCAGCTTTTCTCTTGAGACCCCACAAGGGTCTCCCGGACTCAAAGCCCAGGAGACTCTATGTAACCCCAGCTTGTCCCCGTGGGCTCACGCATGCAGCATTCATGAAATACACTTACAAGAGAAGCATGGACGTGCGTGAACTTTAAATATAAGCGGTCACTCCACTAGGCGCTCCCTACTTTGAATTTTCAATGTCACCTATAAACACTCAGGAAGGTACTGTTGATGACTCTAATTTAGAGAAGAAAGGAGGGTGGGAGGCCAGTTCTTGTAGAACGAGCTGCCCTGCACCCCCTACAGAAGCCCAGATTCCTGCTCACACAGTTGTAGCTGCTCCAGCAGGTCGGAACCCCCTGGAACCCTAGGACTAGGCACAGTCCTCCTCAAAGGCATGTAGAGAACAAGCTTCCAGGTTAGGAGCCTCTGTGAGTGTCCCCTGGCTGGCATTTTCTAGAAACACCCAGTTCTGACACCAGAGGACTCACTTCTCTAATGAGAAAAAGCTATAAACTTCACTTGGTTCCAAACAGTTCCCGCCTGGGACGTCCTTTCCTCCGTCTGCCTTGGGGAAGACAGTGTCCTCTACCTTCCCTCCTTTCTCCATCTCTGTGCCTATGAGTCCCTTCTCCTCCAGAAAGGCCTCCTGGGCCAGGTGGATCAGGATGTGCACAGGTGTGGGGCTAGGTAGGTCAGCTGGTAGGTCTCAGTCAGAGTCCTGTGCAGGTGGCCATGGGTCCAGCTGACACGGGAGCTTGTGTGAGACCCATGGATGTTCTGGCATGACAGAGCAGGGACAGACTTTCAGGATACCGCAGGCATGCTAACCCTGGGAAGTTGGCTATCTGACCTCAGTGAGGGTGATGCCAAGCCCCACACAGCTTCACCTGCCATGAGCACCCACCTTCAGCCCCTCCTGCAAAACCTGACCACCAGCGGCTCCAAGTTAGAAAAGTCGTGATGTGGTCTCAGGGAGTGTTGGGAGTGGGACAGGGGGTGACAGCCACACACTCACTGTCTGCCTCTTCTTTCCAGGATTTGAAGACTGTCCTGTCCCTGCCCCAGCACCCAGGGGAGTTCCTGCACCCCGTGGTGTACGCCTGCACTGCAGTCATGTTGCTCTGCCTTCTCACCTCCGTCCTCACCTATATTGTGCACCGCAGGTGAGGCGGGCACCCCCTCCCTCCACCCACCCTGAGGGTGGATGCATTTCCAGTGACACTAACCTGTCACCTGCAGCCCCATCTTCTTGTCCAGTTGGTGAAATTAGTTCTTCCTCAAAGGGAGTAAGTGTCAGAAGTCAGAGCCCCGGCAGAGTCCATGAAGCCTCTCTGTGCCGTTATTTCTGGCCAGCCTCTGCCTGGTGAAGGGAGATGACCTGGTATGTCTGCCCTGGGCAGAGGAGGAGGGGGCATGGCTGTCGTCAGCCATGGGCAAAGCCACAACCATGGTCACAACCAGGGGCTCTGGTGTGAGCAAGTCACAGTCACAGGCAGGGCTTTGGTCATGGGATCAAGTTAGGCATGCCCAAGAACCACCGTGAAGGTTGTGGACGTAGTCAAGACAGTGGACATCAATTAAGCATATCATAGATGCGGCCATCGCCAGGGTGAGAAGTAATGCTTTACGCAGGCTTGTGGTCATGGAGATGCCCTGGCCACGGGCAGCGTCCTGCTCTAGCTGTGTGTCACAGCCATAGTGAGAGCTGTCTTCTTGTCAGGCGTCTGCTCTGCGAGGGACCCAGGAGACGTGGCGTCTGACTTTCCTCTGCCACCTTCTGCCTCCATGACCATGAGCAGCTGTGTCTCAGGGCCTCAGCATCCACACCTGTGAAATGGGCAGATGATGTGATGCTGAGTCCTTCTTTCCACTTCATTCTAGGGTGACCTGGAAGGGTTCAGCACAGCCTCTGTCTGCCCCCTTGACGTGCTCTTCTCGTGTCCACTCCAGGCCCACCCCAGTCCACACACTTAGGGCCACCCGTCACTGTCCTCACAGGGGACATCACTCCTGCTTTCATGCTCTAACGTGGAGTCTCCCTTTCCCACAGCGCCATCCGCATCAGCAGGAAAGGCCGCCACACCCTTCTGAATTTCTGCTTCCACGCGGCTCTGACGTTCACGGTGTTCGCTGGTGGGATCAACCGCACCACATACCCCATCCTGTGCCGGGCGGTGAGTGCGGTCCCTTCTCTGTGGCATCACACAAGTCACATGGTCCCTGGACTTCCCTACCAAAAGGGGATTAAGTCTGTGGGAATTCTCTTATTCATGAGAGGAGGATTTAGTACTTTCTCAGGGTCCCGGGGAAGGCACAAGGACTTCTGGTGAACCTGTATCTCATAGTTCACCCCACATTTGAGCATATAAAGCCTTTTATTTTAAAATGGAACCCTTCACGCTGATGTTTGCCAAGCAACACACGTCACTCTTTTGGGAATGCTGATGCCTTTCTCCTGAACTCACTGGAGCAGTGGACTAGAAAGGACCAGCCTGCCCACCCCCGATGCCAGGTGGCACCTGTGGATGCGGACCTCTAGACTTGCAATCAGGGGTCACTTCAAGCCGTGGGCCTCCAGGAAGGAGTCCAGGCCCACAAGGCACAGTGCGGGGGGCCTCCCGGAGCTCAGCTTAGCAAGTGTTGAAAGACGACCTCTGAAGACCACCAGAACGGGCCTTCCTGCCCCCAGCCCCGAGGTGCACACACACTGTCACTCTGTCTCGTAGACTTTGAGCCAGCACAGCACCTGCCCGTGAAACAGCTCTGCTCTAGGCCGGTGGTCTCCCAATGGGGGACGGCCCTGAGCTACAATCAACACACACATTCTCACAAATCCACATCGAACTAAGCAGCTTGGCGCTGGGACAAGCAGGATGTTCCTGAACAGAGCCTACCGGCCCCAGAATGCCTCATGATCTGCCTCCCAGTTAACTGGGGCTGTTAATTCTACCTGTTAAATCTAAACACAGGCCAGCCTGAAGCCCCCCAGCCCCTCAGTGACCACACACCCTGTGGGCAGAGGTGACGCTGGAGCTGTACCCACCCAGCCAGCTCAGACTCAGGTCTGGTGACCCAGACTCCACTGCGGTATCAGCTGACACTGGAGATGCTGGTAGGGTGAAGGCTCGCAGGGCCAGGGTAGGTCTGTGGAGGAATGCGGGTTAAGGGAAGAAGTGCTCAACTTGATGTCCAGAGTGGGATGACCTCCAGACCCCCGGCGAGGGAAGCTGACATGCTGGTCAGAAAAGATGACCAGGCCTGCCCCTGGGGCCCTGCTGAGTACTGGTCCCTCTTCCGGATGGCAGCCTGGGCACCTTCTGCCCACTCACATGTCCATCCACCCACCTGACCCCTCCATCTATCCACCCACCCACCTGTCCATCTCCTTCATCTATCCATCTACCTATCTGTCAATCCATCCATCCATTTGTTCACCCACCCACCTGTCCATCCACCCACCTGACCCCTCCATCTAGTCATACACGCATCTGTCCATCTACCTACCTGCCCATCCCACCCACCTATCCCTCCCTCCATCATCCCTCTATCCTTCCATTCATCCACCTTTCGCCCAGCACGTTTGCACCAGGGCCTCGCTGCTGGCCATGGAGGTGTTGGGCTACAGCAGGAACAAGTACCTGAACCCTGAAACACACCACGAGTGTCCTGAGAGGAGTGAACGGGGGTGAGGTAGGAAGGTCGTGACAGGGGCAGAGTGCAGCTGTCCCTCCCCTGTGCTGGTCTCTCCCCTATGAAAACGCAGAGGAGGCTACACCTCCACTGGGCCTCGTGGACCTGAACAGAGGACCCGAGTGTGTCCATATATGACGCCACCCCCACGCAGCCATGTCATGGAGCAGATGGAAGACAGAGGCCTGAGGGGCAGGTTAAAACCTGGGTACTGTGTGGGGTTTCCCACTAGGCAGCCAAGCTGCCCCCCATACCCATCTGGAAGCCCACCCAGGACTCCTGGGACCAGCTTCTCGTTCTATCCACATTTCTGAGAAATTGTGAGGGAAGGCTACAGAGAACAGGCGGTTGTTATGGCAACAAAGAGATGACCATGAGCCTCATTAAAAGTATTAGGTGACATCATAAACACACACAGATGGCCGCTGCCAGTCACGTGATAAACAGCATCCTTGGCCTGAGCTTGGGAAGCTGGCTGGACAGTCCCGGAGGACCAGGGCACCATCAAGGCCATAGTCCATCCCTGCATTTCCCAGGCCAGCCCTGGGAACTTGCACAGAGAACAAAGAGGTCTCTCATGGGCCCCTCCCGCTCCCCCACCGTCTCTCCTTGCCTTAACCTCTGGCATTTGTGTGATACATTTGTTACCATGCATGGATCAGCATTGATACATAATTAGCTAACATCCCAGTTCACCTCAAGGTTCTCTGTGTTGCATGCCCTGTGGATTTTGACAGATGTCCACCATGTCAGTATCTGTAGAACAGTTTCACTGACCTAAACCTGCCCTGGATTCCACCTGGTCACTCCCCGAGCCACAGCAAGCGCTGGCCTCTGCACTGTCTCTAGTGCTGTTTGGCTATTTCCAGAATGCCACACGGTGCGGATGGTGGATCATACAGTCTGTTGTCCTCTCAGCGGTGGGTGTGTACGGCTATGTGTGCCTCTGTTGTGATTTCACAGCGCAGTTCTTTCATTGCTGACCAGCACTCCACTGTGTGTCTGCACCACAGTGTGTTCACCCATTCACCTACCAAAGAATCCAGACACAGAGCTTACATCTGTCACAAAAATTAACTCAACATGGATCACAGACCTAGATGCAAGAGGCAAAAGCACACACCTTCTAGATCACAAGGAGAAAGTCCAAGTGACTTTAGGGTTAATGGTGGCTTTTTAGAGACAATACCCAAAGCACAAGCCATACAAGAAAGAAAGAAATTAAAACGTCTGCTGTGTGAAAGACGCTGTTAGAAAAATCAAAAGGCAAGACACAGATGGGATAAAACAGATGCAAGACACTGATCTGATCGAGGACAGGCGCCTAAAATATGCAAATAATTCTTACAACTCAACAGTAAAGAAAACAAACAATCCAGTTACAAACCGGGCAAAAGATCTGAACAGATACCTCACTGAAGAAATTACACTGGCTGCAAGTAAGCATATGTCTGAAAAGATGTTCATCATCCTGCGACGTTGCTGGTTTTCTTGGCTTTAAGTCGGCTCCAACAGACGAAGACTTGGTGTCCAACAGAACAAATGGCTATCCACCCTGAGCCTCCTCCATGATCCCGGTCTGTCTGGGCCCATAGCGGCAGCATTGTGTCAGTTTGCCTCATGGAGGCCTTCCCTCATCTGTCGTTAAGGAATTGCATGTTAGAACAACAATGAGATACTGCTGCCTGCCTGTTAGAACGGATAAAGTCCAAAACCCGACTATGCCAAACGCTGGTGGAGATGTGGAGCTGTAGGAACTCCCTCCACTGTGGGTAGGGATGCAGAACAGGGCCGTCAGCTTGGAAAAGGGTCTGGCAACTCCGTACAAAGCTAAGCATAGGCTTTGTAACCATATGATGATGCAGCAATCACGCCCCTGGGTATTTACTCAAATGAAATGAAAACATATGTTCACGCAAAAACTTGCGCATGAGCATGGAGAGCAGCTTCATTCATAATTCCCCAACACTGGAATCAGCCTTGTGGCATTTTAGCCTCTCCACGTGTCCACCCTCACGTCGGGTGGCAGCATTCTGTGTGTTCATTCCTGTACCCCACAAATGCATTCCTGTTTGTGAGAGACTCTGTTCAGACCTACAAGGGGCGCATCCCAACCCCGTGTGGCCTGCCTCCTCCCAGCTCCTGGTCATTCCCTACCACCATCACCCCAGGCTGTCCTGCAGCTGGAGGGGCTGGAATGTGCTGTGGGGTTACCTTATGATCCTGCTATTCTGTAACAGTGACCACCATGCCACTGCCCACCAAGAAAAAAGATGGCTCTCCTTCAAAAAAGAGGCCAGGCCCCAGGGCTTCCCCTTCCTATCTCCTTTGAGGGTAGAGACTGGTGACCAGTGGTTGGTGCTGGGGAGGGAGCTGGTCCCAATATAGGACAGGCAAGTCTCCTTGCTGTGGGACAGGGCAGAGGTCTGCAGAGACCCTCCACAGAAAGCTTCCTTTCCCAGCCCGTCACCCAGAGGTCTCAGCCATGATTACACACGTATCCCTGCGTGTGAGACTCACTGAGGCACACAGTCCCTGCATTCAGAGAATTCTATATTCCTTCAACATTGATGTCCTTTCAAATCGTAGCAATGTTGTTGTTGTCGTCACCACAAAATGTCAGGTTATTGCTTCAAAGGAACCAGTTACACACACGACTCTGATGAAACCACACACTTGGAGCAGCTCAGCCCACCGATGGTCACTGGTGCTCACCACACCACAGTAACAACGTGAGCAGCCTACCCGCTCTTCATCTGGGGGCACCTGCATGAGGGTCCCAGACCAGGGAAAGTGATCACTCTCCAGATCACAGGAATCTGTGCCTCAGCACAGGGCAGGGACATGTGTGTGCACGTGGACATGCATGTGCATAAGGCCATGTGTGAAGGTGTGGGGGACATGTGTGCAGTGGCGCATGTTGCGGACAGTGTGTGTTCTTGCACATGTGGGTGTGTTCACATTGGCATGTGTGTATATAGGGACATGTATGGACATGTGTATGCATGGGGACATGCTGTGAGGTGACACATTGTGCACACAATGTAGTGTGTGTGTGTGTGTGTGTGTGTGTGTGTGTGTGGCACTCATATGCATGGGGGCATTTATGTGCATGGGTATATGTTCATGGATGGGCTATGCCTGTGGACATATGCATTCATGTGTATGCACAGGTGTGTGTGCACACAGGTGTGTGTGTGAAGAAGGATGTGTGTGTGCACAGGTGTGTGGGTGTGCAGGGGGTGTGGGTGTGCACAGGTCTTCCTCCACATGTGGGGATGGCATACATACCACTCAGGGATGTGTGTACCCCCTGACCTTCTGATCTACCTGGCTCTCAGCCCCCACAAGCCCTCCAGGGTTCCCCATGCCCCCCAGTTCCCAGACCCTCAGGCTTCCCAGACTCGCTCCTGCGCTCCCTGACCCCCATCTCTCTGGCATCAGAAGGGTCCATTTCACTGGTTGTACGTCTCTCGTGAGAGTCCTGAGCAAAGCCCCGTCTCACTGCAGCTCTCATCCTTGTCCCTAAGGGCACAGAGGGAGCAGGGGGGATGGGCCAGGCTGACACGCTCTCCCTTCCTAGGTGGGCATCACGCTACACTATGCCACGCTGTCCACCATGCTGTGGATCGGGGTGACCGCCAGGAACACCTACAAGCAAGTGACCAGGAAGGCCCCGCCTTGCAGCAGCGCAGAGCAGCCACGCTTCCCCAGGCAGCTGTTGCTCAGGTACAGTGTCCACACGTGCAGCCCCCATCGAGGGTTCAGACCCTGCTCCGTGCAGGGGCCGCAGTATGAGAGCAAGAGCTCCGTGTGGGAACCAGGGCTGGACCAGGTCTGCAAGTCACATTACCGTGATTGGAGCCAGCTGCTCCGAGCACCAACATGCCCCTGAGGGATGTGGCTGCCTACAGTCCCCGGGTAGGGGTGCTCTGGGCACGGCTGGCTAGTGCGGGATCTTCAGTCAGGTAGAGTGGGAGCAGCTGGTAAGACCCTTCTCAGACCAGGAGAACCACGGTGAGACCCTGAAAGTCCCCTGGGGCCAGAGCAGGCCTGAGAGTCACTTCCCTCTCTCTCTCCCTCCTTCCTGAGCTGGGCATCCCCATCGATGGGTTGATGGCTGGCAGAAGGACATGCTAACGTTCGTCTCACCCCACCACGAAAATAGCCCTATGGAGGCACCAGTGGAGGTTCTCTTCAGCAAGGACATGCCTGTGGTCATGAGTGGGCATCAGTGGTTCCTGGGCTTTGCCAATTCGCTCTTCTTAGTCATCATGAGACCCTAGTATCATGCGTTGTCCACCTTCCTTGAGTGTACTTTTAGAGCAGGGGCAGGTGGCAGGCGGGAATGCCATCAAAATCTTTAAGGCTTTCAACTGAATAAACCAGGCCCACCATGTCATGGATGGTCAGCCCCTTAGGATCAGCATGTCACAGCAACATCTAGACAAGTATTTGACCAAACAGTTGACCGAGAGCCAAGAGGACACATGAAACCCATCAGCACACCAGTGCCTCACGGGTCCTTCCCCCAGGGGTCAGTGGGGCCCACGAGGGCCTGAGCCACTGGCCAAGCTTTCCCAGGTGACACCCTTCGTGGGGGGGCACCACAGCTAGAAGGTTGCCCTAGACACTGGATGCTGGTGGCTTCCATGGTGGCTCATGTGTGAGAAGCTCTGGCCAGCTCCGGCCACCTCAGTGTGTCCTAACACCACCAGGATGTGTCGTTTGAGGCAGACAGTGCATTCTGTTGTTCTGATAAATAAGGTCATCTCTGCCCAGAGCATTGAACGATACTGCTTAGTTTTCATATCTGGCAAACATGTTGCCATTTAGCAATTGGCCAGGCAACTCCTCTGTGTCCTGAAGGACAGACCATAGGGATCAAACATCCCATCTCCCCGTGGGCACCCAAGGGAGCTCCTCTCAGGTGGCTGTGATTGATGGGAGGAAGGCTCTCATTTTAAGAACAGATAGGTGCCACAAAGCACCCTGCCATTTTCCTCCCTACCTCTTTGCAAATTCACAACTATCACCAGCCTAGTGGCACGGGCTAGGACCTGGGGAATCCGTACATGCAGGTGGACAGTGCTGGCTCGGCGGACTGTGCAGACCCACGAACACCTTAGTTGTTTGTGTTTTGATGGTAACATGGAAGAAATCACAGGTTGAAGGGAATGAACTCAGGTGTGGGTATGGCAGTGGACATGGACCACAGGTCATCTGAGGATGAGGAAGATGGGGTTGTTATGGAGGGCACTAGAACCGCTCAAGTTCAGGTAGCAGTGGACAAGAGACCGTCTCCATATGTGTCCACCTGTCTGACACACACTCAGCCCCACCGGACAGATGGGTAGATTTTCCAGGTGTGGCATCTCACCAGAGGCTGAGGAGGAAGAGGATGCCTGAGAGCTAGGGCAGGCGTCCACGTGAAGTTTGGTGGGAAGAATATTAGTGGGCAGTGCCGAGGTTGCTGGAGACAGCCAGGGCCAGAAGAAGACATGTTGTCACAAGGAAAAAGGGTGATGGGTGGATGTGTAGACATTTAGCGGGGAGGTTGCGAAGGGCAGGAGGAGAAGGCGAGGCCCAAGGCTAGATTAGACCAGAGTCCCTGGGTCAGTGAAGGAGAGCGTTCATGGTCTGGCTGGGGCACTCAAACTGCCCCCGGAGGAAAGACCAGTCTCTGGGACCCAGAGGGTCTAGTCTGCCTCAGTTTCCTCACCCACTGAGTCCAGAGGTGGCTTTGTGAGCCCACAGAGGACCTGCAGGGACAGAGCCTCCGTTTCCCCAACACCCGTGCGCTGAGCGCCCCCTGGTGATGGAAGAGCAGAAGACATGTGTGTATCTGACGTGTTGGGCAGAAGGTTGCAGAACATTCCAGGCTTCAGTGACACTCACACGCAAAGCCTTTGAAGGGTCTGGTGTGCATGTAACAGCCGGCGAAACCCCCTCCCTGAAGCTTCAGTTCTTCTGTCCCTGGCCAATCTTGAACAACCTCTCCCTGAACTGCCCAGTGAGGGTGTGTGGGCCAACTACCAGAAGTTCTCGGAGGGGACGGTGTCCCAACACCTGTGGCAGGTCAGGTCCTGACCTTGGGGTTGCATCTCCCCCATTTGGGTATCACTGGGGACTCAGACTTGTTCTGTCCTAAGGTGGCCAGACCCCCAGCGAGTCACATGCTGAGTGGCAGAGTTCCGGTCATGTAGATGGGGGTGAGCTCACTGAGAAACCGAGACAGCAGAACCACGCCAACCGGAACAGAACGTGTTCCATCCGGCATCTCGGAAAAGTGCAGTCCAGCAAGGACCTGCTAAGCGCACCCACCAGACCACTTGTTGTATAAGACGAGGCTCCAGTGGGGGCCCCCTGGCTATGCACATGACCCAGTACAGCTAGAGAGGTACCACTGGGAAAGGACCATAGATGCCGGGCTTGAAGTCTAGTCCCTTGGTTCTCAACAGCAGCCTGCAGGAGATACCATTAGTCCTCCAGGGGAACCCCTCTAACTTCCCATGGGACAAAACCTGTCTTATGGCCAAAGCTCTTCTCCTGAGCATTAGCAGGTATCTGCCCATCTTCAACGCTGAGCCCACCTGAGCATGGTGGTCAGTGCTGGAGGCCATGTCTGCATCCACATGGATGGGAGCGGCCTCCACCATAGGGTTGGTGGTCAGTATACTGACAGCTAAGCCTGCAGCACCTGCCCCTCATGTCCCCAACATCCTACCCACAGACGCCTTAGGTTCCAGCAGTCCAGGCAGGGCCCTCCCCGTTTCCTAGACCTGCCTGTCTTCCTGTCTTCCCAGAGCCCCAACCAGAGCCTATCTCCTTCTCAGCCCACCTCTACTCAGCCCCTGCCCATCTCTCCTCCCAAACTAGCCAGGACCATCCCTTTTCGTTCCCACCGACAGCCTAGAGTCATCCCACCCCTGCTGAACCTGGACAGTGCCCACCACCCACCCACCATGGTGAGCTGCTCCCAGCCCTCCCCACCACCTCTTCCATCTGCCCTGATGCCATTCTCGAAACAAACATCAACACCATCCACAGAAATTCAGGTCCTGGGTCCCAAGAACTGTGTGAAGGCTTGTGGTCCTGTTAGGTGGACCTCAGAGCAGATGCTGACCACTCCCACCATTGTAAAGCTTGATGCCCCTGGGGACAGGCAGAGCAGGCCAGCCCCACAGAGCTTCAGACAGGATGAAAGGAGACAGCTGCCCAGGAGGCGCACCTGTGTAGAAACAGGTAACACGGTCAGGACAGATGGTCATCTGGGACTTCGTGTCGATAAGAGTTCTCACGTGTCCCCGGTCACATCCATGGGGTGCCACATGGGGGTCGTCCTGACTCCATGCTAGCTCTTTCTCATCTCACATGCTCACCCCATTCTCCCGGCGTTTTGAGGGAACCAAGCCCATGTCAAGGATTTTTTCAGAGAAAACTCCACCAAAAAGTGTTGAAGGACTTGGAGCCAACAGGAGTTCATAGCCTCACTCTGAGCAGAAAAGCCTAAAGCAAAGGTCCCTGCTGAATGTCAGGGCAATGTGGCCAGTTAACTGGAGTGGACACCTCTGTCCAGGAAAGGACCCTGGTCCACAGCAGAAGCCAGCGTACTCAGGTCCTGGCTCTGTGTGGAAGGTTCTGGAATGGCCCTCTCATTAGAACTTATACCAGGAATGGAAGAACCAAGTGGGTCCAGGAGCCTTGCCCCCACAGACCAAGGAGTCCCCAGCTTAGTGCACCCTGCGGCCACATTTCATCATCATTCTCACTCCAAAATCCAAGCCGGGAGACATGTGATCGGCGGTTTCTGTGGCAACACAGGAATTCTAAAAAAAAATTTTTAAGACTTACTATGTGGTCCACTCTGGCCACCCACACACCGGGGATCACATCCTCCAACTTCTTCTGTGAAGCCAGGATGGGCCCCATATGGACAAGGGTTTGGGGGAGCTCCTTAGAGTGCTGTGAAACCCTAAGGGAGAACTTGATGGGACCCATGGACTCTGAGCTGACCTTTCCCCAGAAAAGGGGTTTGAAAAGTTTGGTGCCCACTTCTGAAAGACCACTGAATGCGTGGGCCTTTGTGCCGACATGTCACTGTCCAGATTAGGACCACCTGCTGTTGTCTGTTGTTAGTTTAACTCAGTGTCATTACCCAATGAGGTGCAGCCTCAGTTAATAGTCATAGATACCCACCCAGCTCTCCACTCCCTACCACAGCTGCTCCAGCTGCCCAAGGGTAGGATGGAGAGGTCAGAGAGTTCAGGTGGGCCTAGTGGGCTACCACAGGGCATCTCCCTGCCTCCTCCCTGGTCAGCTCGCCTGGCGGGGAGCGGGCCTCAGAGTAGCCGCTGACCCACCCCGGTCTGCTCCAGCCGGAGGGCAACCATCCAGCAGAGGACTTCTTTCTTGCTCTGGTTTCATAGACGCTCACAGACCAATTCCCAAGTGAGCTTTCCATAATTACATTCTAATTCTGCAATCTGTTTTGCCCTTTCTAATAAAGTGCACCCAAGTTGTTTCCTATTATTTAAGGCCTGCTGGTAGCTTTTCTGTTTGAGAAATACAGTTGCATTACCACAGAGACATTTAAACGAGGGACTTCATGAGCCCAGTAGGGGAAGAACACTTCTATTTGCTCATTCATTCATTCATTCACTCATTCACTCATTCAGTATCCAATGGTGTCAGGCGCTGGGCCCAGACACACACCTGGGCACACACTT